TAGAAACCAGGGCGACAAAATTGGTCTGAACACCGAACACCTCCACCACTTGTAACGTACAGCGCAATGGTAAGGCCATGTCTGTCAGGTGGAAAATTAACAGGAGTCCATGCGACCAGGGGGGAGGGGGTGGAAGCTGGGATGCACGATTGAGATGAACTGACTTAGCATCCATTCCTAATTCCAAAGGCTGAAAAATGGTCAATTATGCACCATGAAGTCCTTCGTTGTGCTGTGGGAGTAGAATTTGAATAGACTGATCCGATAGTGAGAACCATACCTCACAAACACATGTTTCATTCATGGCATTACCAGCTCCATTCGTCATTAATCATTCATCGAGGCTAAGGAAAACGCTATCTATTGCAGATGGTGCCAAAATCCGTCTAGTTGATCTACTCCTCAGAGGAATACAGATCCTGGCAGATTCTCCTCTTTTTACGAGAGTCAACTTGACGTAAAATAAAAAAAAGTTCAAATCCTGTCCCCAAGACCCCTTATTTGATCCTATTTTCAAAACGTCTCCCAATCGGAGCCAATCTACAGCTTATTACATTCTTTAGTGATGAAGTGGAGACTTCATCATTCACTTCGTTTTTGTCCTCCACCTGTGTATACACACATCACAATAAGGTAACGATGGTCCCAATAAAGCACCCGCACGGATGCACCAATTGAGTGTCAGCACGGCTAAATCGATTGGTCGCCTCGGCGCATGCCGCTCCCGCGTGCGCATACGCACACGCATGCACGCACGTAGCCTAGTGTGATCGATGAGGCGGAAGGGAAAAACACGACCCCACCGAAAACGACCTGCGTGCAGCGCCACTGCAGACTAACAATCATGGGTAGGGGTTGGATCGTTTGGATTCTCGAGGCTCGTTCAATGGTTCAGTGACGACTGATTCTCCAACGATGGACGCTTACAGCTGAACCATGCCTTTGACTGATTCATTAAAAGCCACAGCGACATCAGTGTCAACGTATGGTATCCAAATGCGTTTGAAACTAAGACGGATACTTTGAAAGTCCTAGGATTTCATCAGTGATACAATCGGCCACAAATTTCAATCCCCTTGTAGAGCTGTTGGTAGAGAAAGGATTAAAGCTATCAGCAAACGCGTAAAGGTCTAGCGGTGCAAGCAACTTCATTTTTACAAATGCGCCTGTATTAATTGACAGCGGGATAACTCGGCCTTGACAACATAAAGCACCAAAGGTGTAGGAAGCTTAAGGGCATTTGCACCTGCCTAATTCTTTTCTTAAGTTTGGTACGGGAACAACTCTGAAGTAATGTTCCTAGTAAAAAAGCACTTGATCCAATTCTGTAACTTCTTTTCCTTTTCTTGCATTTGAAAAGAACAAAAAATTAGTTGTGTGGACGAACATAAGAATAGGAAGACGCTAAAGTCGATGGAGAGTTTATCACCGTGACAACATCCTAGCTTTCACTTCTTGTCCAAAGCGAACTTTCCCATTAAGGACAATAAAAGGTCATTCCAGTCCAAACCACGGCGGATGGCAAGGCTAGAGATCAGAAGCTGGCTAGAAAGAACTCCGTCCTACTCCACCCACAAAGGAGCATATTCACCCTTATATTTCGCCTTTTTATAATTTAAAGAGAAGAGCATGTCTTCGAACAGCGTCAAAGTGTATCAATTCAGACCAGTAAATGAGGATGAGCACTTGGGAGTTTTGGTCGATGAAGAGTGTCTAGTAGTTGCCTAAAGCGAGTTTTGTGGGCCGATTCAAGCCAATTTTCTGTCGACCACAAACCGATCCCTCTTTTCCCCAAAGTCTTCAGATAACTAATGTGGCGCATGCATAGAGAGAGGCGAGAAATAAAAGCATACCAAATACCGCTCGGACGAGACACTGACGAGGATCAAATCATCACCAATGCGCACTTTTTCACCAACCGATCGCTGCTTCGAAGCTGGGTGAATGGTCCACCAGCAGGCCTCGGCTGTAACATTGGAGAAGAAAACCATACAGCCTCAAATTAAGGCGCTCTCGAAAATGCCTGTTTACGTCCACATTGGTGACACATCTTGAAAGGGCTTACAACTTTGTGGTTTTGGTTAAGCGATAACAGACCCTTTTTTAAAAGTCGGAAGACGCTACATGCCAATCAAAGGCATCTTCATGTAGAAGGCGTCAGATGAACTTCGGGAACCAAAGGCAAAAATCTCAGTAAACGGAACAGCTTGTTCTACTTGTAGTTGACTTGACTTGTAGCATGTGAAGATTCCGTCGATGTGAAAGATTTCTACCACACAATAATTTTTAAGAAAATAGTTTAATTTTTGGCTTCGAAAAAAGCTATTTAAAATGTTTTTTTTAGAAATGATACACACCCATAAAAAGGTCATAAATCACGGCCGTTCGCGAGTAAAACAAGCTTACTGTTGGCTTCGCGCTCGAGGCCTACATCAAACGCCAATTTGTCCTCCGTTGAACTGGTACCAAGACAAGCCAAATACTGGATCAGTAAAAGGAAAAACAGAGTCAACATTCTCCAATTTAGGGTTTAAAAAAGCGGTGAAAAGCATACCATGCTGCTGTTGCGGTGCTTCAGCCTAATAGCGTGGCCATAGAGAAGAGTGCGATGACCAGAAGTATGACTCTGAAAATAAAGAGAGACTTTACTAAATCAAGGGGACAAAACTTAGACCAAAATTTGCGCAAATGTACATCGGAAAGCTCATTGCGACTAGAAAGCATTTCCTGTAGCGCACGAGCTGATAGTGCCTGTTCCAGGATGAAAATACAAGGGGGCATATTGGCTGGAGGAACCTAAAATATGTCAAAAAAAGTCGATTAACTTCAATTCCTATGGTGTTTTGCAATGAAACTAGGCTTATCATTACAAACGACCAACTTCACATTAAGATTTAAAGTTACTCTATGAACAGCGATTCG